ATCCTTAAAGATAACAATAAAAATACCAATTAGAGAACATTCAGTGAAAGGAAGATCATGTACTAATTGATAATTGCACACTTTACATATTATTAATAAGTGTTTACAAAAGCAAATGTTAATTGTAGTGAATGGAAACATTCTATCATTTTAATTCACTTTCATGGTAATTTCTAGCAGAAGAATTAAATATCCAAACTATTATAACTTGTAAATCAAAGTATTCTAAATGAGTCAAAAACCCCCTTTTTGTGGTGTACTTCTTTTGATGACTCACCTATTGTACACCCATCTGTTTTCAGACATGCACAAGGAAACAGAGATGTACAAGAACATCAGGCATTTATGTCCCTATACTATTGGGACACCATTCACATATGGCACAAAACCTGATGCAGGCAAGAGAGAAACAGAGCACCAAAAAGAGCAGATTTGAAATGGATGAATTCTCCTTTTGATAAGGGTCTCAAATACTGAGTTTGTTTCTGTGTTTCTTGACTTGGATGGAGAAGGGCAAAGTGAAAGAAACCCTCCTCCGGGGCATCTCTTCTTTATGCTGTCAATCACAAGAGTGTAACATAATCTACTTTACCTGGGTCGTAGGGTCAACATCTTTTAAATCTTTAGGTGGGACAATGAGAAAGGTTAGACCATCACACAGGACAGCAGACCCAATGCTCATATATCCCTAGAGACTACACAGGAAGCTGATACGAAGTTTTCTAAAATTCACCTCTTCACAAAATAAATGACATGATTGCTTTCTTGGTTCCCACCCTTTGTCCTCCCATATTGACCTTCATAAGGACGTTCTAGGTTTTCACGGCTTAGATGTCCCAGATTTCATCAGAAAGAAAAATTAGATATTGTATACTTATGATTTTGGTGTATTAATCAGGGTTGATGCTTTTATATCTGATGAATATGATAGCTATACTACTGGATTATCACAATTTTCAATTTATCTTTCTAAAATGAAACCTAAGAATTGAAAAACAACGATTGCAACTGAAAAACAAATTGCAACGTCAAATAACAGAACTGCAATAAAATCAAACTGATTTTATTATGAGAAGTATCCTTAACCGATAGGCACATGAAAATAAAGTTTGAAATCAAAGTTGTGAATATTCGTAAAATGCTACATAAGTTGTAATAAATGGAATACATGGCTTTGTATAGAGCTTAAAACCTTCAGAGCATGAGATGAAAACAAAGCATAACAATCCCTGAACAAAACCATTAAAAGGAGATGAACAGATAAACCTACCCTTTGTCCTTCGCGTGAACATCCGCACCGTGCTGAAGCAGTAGCTGAACTATTCGAACTCTGTTGTAGCCCGCTGCGAGATGTAAAGGAGTACTCTAGAAAAGAGAAGGAAAAACACACCCCCCTCTTCAGGTAAAAAAAATTCTTGCTTTGCTATATAAGCTGTATTTATTCAGATTTAAACACAACGCCAAGTTAACATAAAAAATACTCGGTTGAGTTATGAAACTCACATTTTGTAACTGAATGAGAGACAAGTCATGCTTCTTAGGAGCATGGTGCACCCATCCATTTCCCATATTTGTTTGTCAAGGCCTTCCATAATCAAGCCCTACCCCGCCTATCCTACATCATTGCTTATTTCTTTCCACCGTGAACGATTCTCACTGTTCTGAGAAGACCTGTCAGAGTTCATATTCCCTACAACTGGAAACATTCTTCCTTATTCTACTTAAATCCTGTCCTCCTTTAAAGTTCTATCTTTTAAATCCCAATTCTGCCATAAAACCTTATCTAAAGACCTAGCTCTCAAAATTTCTTTAATAGAAAAGACTGAAAAACATCCCTGAAGAACTATTTGAAGAAACTGCAGTGGCAAAAAAAAGGACAATGGATCTTATTCACTCCATGTGGCTGCCAGGAATGGTCAAAACTGATTTGCTACCTGGGATGCAATGAAATATGCCAAGATAGTACTTAATTCTTCTATTTTATGTATCATATACATTATACATAGTATAAATACAAGAGGAAAATATAGTTTCTTCCCAACTAATTTCTGCTGCATTTTAATTTGAACAGTTATTAAAAGGTTCTCTGCTAAAATTTAATGTTAATTAAAATAATCAAACTTCTCACCTTTTTTAGGAATCAGAAATAACTTCATTTTAATTAAAAACTTCTCTGCAACCAGAGCAATTTTCTACCTTTGCTAATTTACGGTTTAAATACCATAACAGCTTTTCACACAGGCTCAGGTCTACTTTAATGCACTCTCTTTCATTTTTCCCATCTTTTATTTGGGGCCTTGGGATTTAATTAAGATTTTCTGTTTATTTTCTTCACCTTTTCCAAATGTCAAGATATAAAAGAATCACTCCATACTGTACTATTACTGCTTTCAAGGTACTCCATACAT